CCTCGACTTGCTCTGTGAGAGTAATAGTGCAGTGCTGCTTGGAAGAAACATCAGTGAAGAGATGTGAAGAAACATCAGTGAAGAAACCTCTAGGTGGCTTTGCTCTACAGGGCTAGTGATGCCTGACATTTGGGCTTTGTCTTCCTGAGTGTGGTCTGAGGTATAACAATACCTGCATTACTGACGTCTCTGATGTCTGTTGCCCATGGGTCTGTGAACCACTAAAAATTCGCTGGTCTTTAAACCCTGCGTGAATGCACCTGTGGCTCTTGTTTAATTCATGATTCTGAGCAAGCATAAGATGAATGTCTTGGTAACGAGTTGTATGAGAGACACTAGCAGGAAAATCCCAGTACCTCAAGATGCCACTGCAAAGGGAAGGCAATGGACCAGAATGATGTTGCTATGGTGAAATGGGGGAATGTTACTGAATTCATCTCACTCAGGGCATACGCACATTCACTGAACCACAGCTTTGCCCTGTAGTGTGTTTTTGCTAGTAAGAGTACTGTTCCAGACCCTGCACTTTTTGGACCCCTGATCTGTGGATGGGACCCTGACAGGAATTCTGCTTCTGCCAAACTTTGGGTTTAGGGTGCTTTGTTTTGGAATTGCTTTGGAAGATGCCAGTAGGACTGGACCATAGTGAGACTGTGGGTCAGGTCTGTAGGACATTGTGTGGAGTAAGAGAAGCTGGGCTCCCCTCCCAGTCCTCATAGCACCTACACCTCTTGTCCTTCTGCTGAAGCTGTATTGCCTCAGCTCCCCACTTGCTGCAGGAGGATCCAGAGGCAGTAGGTTATTCTTGGAACAGTGACACATAGGAAGTGGCTGCTTCTGCAGACTGCTCCCTCCTCTCCATGACCCCACAAGGCCCACTCAGTGAGCAGCAGGATACAAATAACACTGTAAGATACTATACACACCCTCTGGATTCCTTTCAGGAAGAAGGACTGGAAAGGGCTAGTACTTCCATTCCAGCTAACCGTTTATTCCTTATATCTTTAAAGGCATTAGAGCCACTAGCTTAAAAAAATGCCCAGTTTTCTAGGAACAAGTGTTTCTTATTCCCTTGGAAAGATTAAAGTTTCTCACGGTATTGAAGTGCTAAATGCATTGAGTCCTGGAGAAAAATGCTTTCTGGTGTCTCTTCTTTACTATTTTTTTCCAGGATGCTTTAACAGTTAGCAATAGCTTGAACTAGATATGTTTGCCCAAGAATTCACTGTCTCATGGGATAGAAGGAATAAATAAAACTTTCAATTAATCTTCTGTCTTCAGCAATGATAGAGGAATAAATTTAGATTGAAAAAGACTTGAAAATGCATTGCAGCAAGAATACAAACAAGTGATACAGTGCTGAATTCCGATACTCATAAAACACGTATTTCAGAGGTGTTTTTTTTTTTTTTTGGACTAGCTATAGCCCAATCCTTGGACTGTATACCTATTAGTGGCTAGACAGCGTTAAGTTGTGATCTTCGAGTGTGGCTTTTGTTTAATTGTATCTGAAAAGAAGCCAGTTCATATACGGTGAGGCCAGTCTGTGATGTGAACAGAACTGCAGTACATGGGAGTGGGTTATCCTCCAGTCCCAGGTGTGAGGGAGCAACAAGGGCTAGCTGCTTCCAAAGGGAAGCAGCCAATGGTGACCCCAGTCAGTGGTGATCCCTGAAGTGCCCACATCAGGAGGGCTTAATCCCCCAAGGTCTGAACATGGTGAGCAGAGCCAGGTGATGGTAGTATGGTTCAGTTACTCTTCCAGGCAAGACAAGTGACAAACCAGGTCCAGGGAGTCCAGTCAGGAGCAAAAGGAGATTGGCCTAGAGGCAGGACCAGAGAGGGGACTACAACATGGGTAAACAGGGCCTAAGTCAGGGTTGAAGGCAAGCTACAATGCATGTACAAGTGGTCCATCCAGAAGACAAGCTACCTACAATGTAGCAGGTAGAGCCAGAGACAGGACCGGAGACAGGTATACCTATGACGAAACTTAGGCAAGGACTGAAAGCTAGGGCCTGAGCCCTTGGGCCAGGCAGAGGGTGAGGCTGGAGGTCCCAGGTGAGGCTGGTCACTTAGTGCCCTGACGCCAACAAAATTGTGAAGACATGCCTGCTGTAGATCTAGGAGTTAGATCTACAGTGTATTAAGGTGTGCAGGCAGATGACTAGATCCTGGCCTGCGGATAAGCTAATTGAACAGCACATGAGAAAATATTGGTGAGTGTATGTTTATGTTCTGCCAGCAAACTTCAAGTTGGGCTAGTCAGTGAGTAAAGGGAGATTAGCATCCGTAAAGTACCAAGGATGGGACTGGAGACTGGATAAAGGGCCCAGGGTTTGGCCTTGGATACCGGATTGACTTGGACTCTGGTACCACGTTTTAGGGGCCTGCAAACGTAAGTGTGCCTGTGAGTTGGGTGTGTGTATGTTCCACTAGCAAACTTCAAGTCTGATCAGCCAGAAAGAAGGAATAGGATGGGGCTATCTGTGTTCATGCCTGTTTGAGTGGGGGGCTGTATTTATGTCAGTGCCTGTAAAGGCACTGCTCTTTCTCTGTGTTGGTCGTTTATAGGTGGCCATGTTTATCCTGTGTGTGAGTGTAAATGTACGTACTGAGAATACATGCTCAGCTGCATGTGGGTTACAGCATTCTCCTGCAGCACCAGCGTGGGAGCAGGGTAACCCTGCAAATTGAATGAATTGCTAACTCTGCTGGGGCTATGGCCTTCCTAATGCTGTGAGGTAAAGATGAGAAACGAAGACATACTCTTTACCTGGGTACTCATATGTGCTGTCAGTAGTTCTATTCCTATCAAATGTCAGGAAGACGCAGGCAGAAAGCTGGAAAAGACTGGGCTGTAGAAGAGAAGATTTCTAATAGGCTGCTTCTCCTTAGTTTACTGTATGTTCAATAATGTAGCGCTACAAGATGAGGTGGTGGTATCAAGACATGTACACAATGAGTAAGGAATGCAGACTTTTTTCCCATGGGAAATACTAGATTTTTGTGGAGCAATCATTGGATTCAGCATAGATCAAAGCTGGGAAAAATAGGACGGAGATTTAGAAGACTAATTTCCCCCTCTGTAATACACTGAGAGCAGATACTCCTTGGTATAAGAGCTATTCTGGCTGTCACTGCCATATGGCCTCACCTAAAAAGCTGGCATTGTAGGGTTTAAACTTCATCTCAGATGTGACTCTTTCAAGTCTTTCCATTGAGTTGCAGGACCAGCTACTGCCTCTTGTTTCCCTCAGGCCAGATGCAAGTTTATGGTCACATGGTCCTCTATTTCAGTCATCTGCTTCTAACTGTAAAAGCCAGTAAAACAATTTAGAAAGGCAGTAAATGTGTAGGCCAGAACCCGCAGTAACTGAAGGCAGAGGTAACTATCTGGTTGCCCTCCAAGACATGAAGGTCTTTATTTTGGTGAAAGTGTGAAGCTAGAATTGCTAGAGGTCTGCACATTAACAGTTGACTAATGGAGCTCTGGTACTGTGTTAAAAACACACAAGCGATTTAGAAGCCTGTGTCTCACTTTCATAGTAATTTAGGCTTGAGTGTACCTTATCGTTAAGGGCATTTAGAATGTCCAAACTGTGAGGAGAGGTGTTGAGGTACATCAGCTCAGTGCTTAAGAGGTGGAAAATTCTGAGCTCCTTTGCTCACATTGGATGAGGTGGCACCCAAGGGCCCTGCTCAGCGTGGAAAGCCAGAGGCATGATCTCATACTGAAGGAATGATCTGACAACAAACTGGTAACACATGACTAATTCCCACGACCAGATCTGCATACTAAGTAAGTCTGGCTGGATAAATCTGCAGAAATCACAACATGGACTATATTCCTGGAGCTCATTGTTAAGTGAATATGACTTTTTTAAAGAAAAAATCATGCCTTGTAAACCTATTGCAATTCTTTTAGCACTCAGAGAAGAGTGACCCAAAGTTGAGGTTTCCCCATAAATTAATAATAACTTGTTAAAAGATAGGGAAAACAGTTGTAATGTATCATCATTACTGAAATGGAAGGGACCAGCCAGTGAAGTCTCAGTGAAGTCCCTGGGACCTGTGGTGAGACCAGTGCTGTAGACCTGTCCCTAAATGCCCTGTAAAAAGAGATTATTTTCCCAATTTAACAGTTGATTTAAATTTATCTAAAACAAAGAATGAATAGAGGGTGAAAAAGCAGCTGAAAATCCTGACACAGAAAAATCCAATGGACATTTCAATGGAAGAACTTCCTAAGGATGCATGTTTAAACACTGGCTGTGAATCGCTGAATGGCAAAAAGGCCAAGGTTGGAAGGGACCTCTGGAGATCATCTAGTCCAACCCCCCTGCTCAAGCAGCGTCCTCTAGAGCATATTTGCCCAGGATCACATCCAGGCGGGTTTTGAACATCTCCAGCGAAGGAGACTCCACCACCTCTCTGGGCAACCTGTTCCAATGCTCTGTCACCCTCACTGTGAAGAAGTTTTTCCTCAGGTTCAGGTGGAACTG